ATCCCACAAGTGGTACAGTTCTCTATGCTTCAACATTATTCCAACCTCTGATTACAAGGTTTGTTGATAAACTATAAATTGCTATAAAGCCTTCTCTCATAGACAGAGTTTTTTTAAAAATCAAACTTCTACGGTATCTAGAGTCTCAAATTCCTTCAAATAAAAAGCCTCATACCTTACAAAAGAAAACAGTAAAAGGTGTCTCAGAGCAATGCACACAGTTCTCCTTTCCTTCTGATTCAAAAGTTTACTCTGAATACAACTGGAAGATGAAAACAGCATTCTCTTATATCTTTCTACTGTCTGTTATCTGCTCAATTAGGAGAACCACACATTTTTTTTCAGGTAGATCTTAAGAGGACATACAGTTTTGCTGGTACTTTTGGCATTCTTTTTTTTTTTTTTTTTTTTTTGGGGGCTGGTTGTACAGGGATTGAACCCTCCACCTTCGTATCTTCTGGTATTTCTTATCAGTAAGCAGACCCACAGCAGACACAGTTCAAGGAATAGTTAGAATGGACTACTTAACATCAAAAGAAAGGAGAAACAGCTATCAGGAATAGCTACAGAATCCAAGAATATCATGAAAATGTTACAGGCCCTACCAAATATGTGCAGAGAGTCTGCAAAATATAAAATATACCTAGGACAGTCAGATAAACAGCAGAATACAATGGGAGCAGAAACAGAACAGAGAAAATGTATGATGGTACTTCAAAAAATTTGCAGAATAGAATTAAAAGATAATATGAATCTTTCTATGAACTTTTTGAAATATCCTCATTTATAATATAGTAATTTAAAAAGTGACTGGCATTTAGTGGGTATATAAAAAGTGGGGGCAAAGATCCTACAATGAATGGGACAGTGCACACAACTAAGAATCTTCTCACTTAAATGCCAATGGCACCCTCTTTGAGAAACACTGCCTATAAACTAATGTAGAAAGATGTTGAAAATATAATGTTAAGGTACGTAAGAACAATATTTTTAGTATGCTGACTCGTATTTTTTAAAATCTCTTTATATATAAAATCATACATGCATAGATATAGTCTGAAAAGATATAACAGAAAGCAGTAAAAGAGATCACCTCTAGGAAAGGCCAAGCAAAGGATACTCCACTCGTACTGTCTGAAGTTTTTCAGTATGTACGAATATTACTGAATACATATATCAGTAAACATGTATTACTTAAAAAAATTAAAAATTTAAATTGAATCCAGACATTGGCCTTTAATTTAACATCAGCTTACAAATGTCCCATATTTAAGTACCTGCCTTAGCCAAGGAATTACCGTCAAGTGGTACAGACCTAAGAATACCTCTCCCCATACAGAATTTTAATCCCAAGAATTCCATCCTTGCTACCAACATATACAAGAAAGACCCTACTTCTACCACTGAAACTGTCCCTCTTAACCCCTCACCACAAAGACATCCTGCCCACCACAATGGACACATTCTGGAGCACATAAGCAGTAGCTACAGTTATTATAGTGTGCCCCTCCAGACCTCTCGACTCACCTGTGTATGCTGCTGCTGTCAGGCCTTCATCAGAAACCAAAATAGGGCCTGTACCTATCTTTTCTGCTCACATCCCAAAATAGGGCCTGTACCTATCAAAATAGGGCCTGTACCTATCTTTCCTGCTCACATCTATGTGCCTACTGGCTTATCTCTAAACATAATTCTGGCCAGTCTCTCATACTCTTAACCTTGTCCAGGTATTTCAACCTGGCCTGACAAGCATCAATGAGATCAGCTTTAACCAGAGGACTCTCAGTTTTGATATAAACTGGTCATTAGCTGTAAACTATAATACACACACCATTTTAATTCTGCCCCAATTTTTATAGTACCCACCTTTTCTTGGCTCAATAATGAATTCTCTTTTTCTAAAACTTGGACGTGCATTTTAAGGTTCCCATTGTCTTCAGTGAGATTGTTATCCTACAGAAATGTTAAAGCAGTGTTTTCAGATAACAAGAAATTTCCAGTTTACAAAAAGGCAGGCAAACTATGTAACTGTTTTTAATTTTTTTAGTGATATATAAAAATTATAAGAATTCAATGTTGAACCATCTTAAAAACCACTCATTTTAGACATTCTTATAGATGTCTTTATTATACTAAAATATATACATATATTTATTTTTATTTATTTACAAAATAACTTGTAATTATTAGAAATAGAAACAACTCCTCAAATTCAACAAGGAAAATCAAAATACATTCCTCACTTCAGTACAGGATCTGCTTCCACTGTCTCTACACACATAACATCTGTCAAATTAATCTTCAAAAAGATATACCTGTATTTTTCAATCATGCAACTTTTAAAATTATGTCAATTTGTGATGCAAAAGGTTTATTAATCAGCAAACATAAAATCACTGAAAGTTCTTAGGGTAAATTCACATGAATTTGTGAAAAAAAAAATAAGCACCTATAATAAATCGAAATATTTTTTCTTGGTACACCAATGTCAAAAACTGTCCCCCTTAAAATGACTTTACCTGGCTTAAACTATTCAGTCTCATTTCATTTTCAGCATCTGTAAAAACAACAAATGAACCTGACATTAAAATAATTTAAAATAACTTATTACCTCCTATATTAAACTAAGAAATGCAACCCAATTAAAACAAAGTATATTTATAAGCTTAATTAACAAGTGCTAACTAACAGTTCCAAGTGAATATTTATAAGCTTAATTAACAAGTGCTAACAGTTCCAAGTGAAACACATTTTTGTTGTTTTGTATTTCTATTTTCATTATACCAAAGAAATCATAATATAAATGTCAGTTAAAAACCATGTTAAGGGCCAGCCCATGGCTCACTTCAGAGAGTGTGGTGCTGATAACACTGAGGCCGCGGGTACGGATCCCTACATAGGGATGGCCGGTTAGTTCACTGGCTGAGCATGGTGCTGACAACACCAAGTCAAGGGTTAAGATCCCCTTACCGGTCATCTTTAAAAAAAAAAAAGTTAAAATCCAATTCTATGGAAAACTATAAGAAAGAACTATGACTGTATTCTGAATGAGTCATAAGTTATCACCTTCATAAAAATACTAACAACTACATCTCAAAGTGAGTTAATTAGTTTGGGTAGCAGGAAACAGCATAAGGTCTAAGACTGAAGGAGAAAAAACCCTTAAAAGCAATAAATATATATTTATACCACAACAATACAATAGTATCAACTTTCTAAAGTGACTTAGACATGACGATTGATAAAAAGACCATTCAATCTGGTAGCATAGATAGATACATAAATAGAAGAGATTCTGGAAGAGGAACACAAAGACAATACCATGAGTTCATCTGAGGTATACATTTGACATTCATACAAAGAAATACTGAACATTTACCATGAGGTCAGGTGCTAGACAACAAGATGTAAAAATTTAGTCCTTGCTCCAAAGAGCTTACAATTCAGAGGGGAAGGAAAACTAGTGAATATATGATTACAATACAGTGTGATACAGTGAGTACAAGGTGCTATGAGAGAAAAAAAGGCAAACACCTAATCCAGACTAGGGGGAGCCAATGGGGCCAGGGAAGTGGCAGTGCTAGGTACCTCCCAGTTGAGGTAATACCCATACTGAATCAAAATTGTAAGAGTTAGCTAAAAGAAACATGGCAACAGTCCACACAGAGAAACCAGCAAAGGCGACAGAGCAAAGACACAACACTATTGGTTTCAGAAGCTATAGAAAGTTCAATATGGCTAGAGCTCAGAATGTGAGGAGAATGGGAAGAGTGGAAACAAAAGAGGCAGACAGGGACCAGATCATGATGGACATTACATGTCCAACTAAGAAGTTTAGACTTCATCCTGAAGTTCACAGGGAGCCACAAAGTACTAAAAACATGGGAATGGGGGCTGGCCAGTTAGCTCAGTTAGTTAGAGCACGGTATTAGAACACCAGGGTCAAGGGTTTGGATTCTCATACTGGCCAGGGGCCCAAAAAATAAATTAAAGAATTAAAACTAAATCTTCCCACATGGGAGCCTACAACTGTTAAGGACTGGCTGGTTAGCTCAGTTGGTTGGCACACAGTGCTGGTAACACCAAGGTCAAGGGGTTCAGATCCCCAAACCAGTCAGCAACCAAATAAGAAAAAAGTAAAAGCAAGGGAATAACTTGCATTTCATTTTCTGAAAAATTATTCTGGCTGCAGAATGGAAAAAAATGGATTGAAGAAGGAATCATGGAGACCAGAGAATAAAAATGGCTAATGCTTTTATAACACTATAGGCCAGACACTGTTCTAAAGAGAATGTGCAGCTAGTAACTAACTCTTATAGTCCTCATTACTACTACAACAACTATAAGGAAGTTACTATTATTATCTCAACCCTGTCAGTGAAAAAACCAATGCAAAGAGATGTAGAAAACAGTAAAAGCAAGGGAATAACTTGCTTTTCATTTTCTGAAAAATTATTCTGGCTGCAGAATGGAAAAAATGGATTGAAGAAGGAATCATGGTGACCAGAGAATAAAAATGGCTAACACTTTTATAACACTATTGGCCAGACACTGTTCTAAAGAGAATGTGCAGCTAGTAACTAACTCTTATAATCCTCATTACTACTACAACTATAAGGAAGTTACTATTATTATCTCAACCCTGTCAGTGAAAAATACAAGGCAAAGAGATGTTAACTAACTTGTCCCAGGTCAGCTAGTTAGCGATAGAGCTGTATTCCAACCCAGTCAAGTTCTCAACCACTATATTATACTGCTCCAGTAAGAAATCTGCTATAGTTAACATAGGCAAAAAGCAATTATGATTGGCTGAAGTAATTCCATGGCAACAAAAATGGAAAAAAGGAGAAAGTCTAGGGCAGTAGGTTTGTTTTTTAAGCAAATAAACTCATATGGACTGCCCAACATGATAGATAAATAATTTTTTTAAAAAAAGAGCAGAGCTACTTCGATTGAAGCCAAATGAGAAAGAAGTCCAGAATCCCACTGCACTTTGCCTGTATGGCAGCTCCCAGGACTGATGAGCCTGTGAGAAACCCTAGAGCTCCTACGGAATACAATCCCAAAATATCACTGAATCAGAGAAAAGCTAAGGAAACAGAACCTACAGGACTTGCTAGGTGATGACTTCTAGCTTTCTGTTTTGGGAGACTGGAAGACTTCTAGCTTTCTGTTTTGGGAGACTGGAAAATGCTACCAATCACTAAGGTAGGGAAAGGAAGAGGAGGCGGGAAAGGACACGGTGACTTTACTTTAAACTTAACTTTAGTTTGAAAATCCATCTGATATATACATAACTGGCCATACAGATCAGGAACTCACGATAAACAATTGGTTGAGGGATACAGATGTGGGGGGTCACAAGCACACAAGGGCTGGAAACCTCCAAAGCAGAAATTCATGAGTTCAAAAAGTGAGAGTTGATAGTGTGAGAGAAGGACAAAGTGCAGAATGAAATGCATCTTTTCAGTGGAAGAGTTCCCATTATGTTTTCCTGCCATGAATGCATACTGGTGTATTTCATCCAATACTATAAATATCATATTTAGCATGGAATATGGCAGAAGATCTATGTCTCTTATTACTCAGGCCTTTGCTCGATATAGGAGATCATTTCAAAAGGTACCAACAGATTTTTGAAGAAGAAAGACTGCATTCCTTAACTGGAGGGTTTGGGCCCTGATGAGTTACAGGAAGTATTCAATACAGATTACAAGAAACAGACCTTTACCTCCTCCCCAAAATGTCAATGTACATAAACTTTTCTCAGATATCTGCATGGCCTCCTAAATCAATGAGTTACATGTAAATAAAAGGATAATGAAGGTAGGTTGAGAAATAACAAGCCAATACTTAACCATTTTTAGTAGAAAATTCCTATTTGTGATCTATTATTAACTATGGCACTGAATCCAACCCAAGCAATTCTCAAATTACTCAAAGTTGTTTCCATGAATACTCCATTTCCAAGAAGTATTCATTTATTCAAGTGTTTAAAAACAATTAGTGTGCAATGAAGTATTCATTGATTCAAGTGTTTAAAAACAATTAGTGTGCAATGAAATACCAGCCTGAAATAAGTTCCAAACATTTCATACCAGGTAGTGATTCTTGTAATGTGACCACTTCTTCCACTGAACTACTCTGTGGAAGAATTCTTTCCTTTTCTGTCACACAATCACTTTGCTTCATAGCATAAGATTGCAATGTACTGCAATCCAGTTTCAAGCTTTCACATTCTTCAATTATTTGTCTCTTTTCCACGTTTAGTTGTTCTTGTTCTCTCCTTAAAACATCTCTGTCATTTTCTGCAGAAGATAATTTTTCATTTATGTCTTTTATTTTATCCTCAAGTTCTTCAATTTTTTTTGTAGATTCCATTTTTTCAGTTTGTAGAAC